AATCGCTTCCATCGCACTGACACTTGAAAGGAACCCCTCGCACCACAATTGCACATATATTCCCATACAAACGACCACAAACTAGCTAAGGGCCATCCATTTAATATACACCCCCCCCTGTGGACGAAAATTTCCGAGGGGGGTTGAAAAAGCCGTTTCTGAGGGGTTGTGTGCATCGGCATCCTTTGATCTTTGCGTTTTTTCCGAGGGGTAAGGCAAAAATTTCTTAATTTCTGAAGGGGTGTTTGTGTCGGCACTTTGATCTTTTTTTCTTAGGGGTTCAAATTTTATTGACTTCGTCCACAGGGGGGTGTGTACATTAAATGGAATGGCCCTAATGCCACTATCGATTGCAAGAGGAAGGTATTAGATTTCATATAGATTTCACGGCGGCACTTACTGTAACCTCATTGGTTGAAAACTCGAAAGCTCGATCATGCGGCGCGCGAATATTCAAATATTTCGGCTTCATGGTGTGTTACTGTGTTATGTTATAAAATTTGAAATGCAATATTTTGAGGTCGAATTTTGATTGCTTGTGCTGCTCGCATACTTTTAACTTTCCAGTTTCCAATCTGTATGACACACATGACACATGGGAACTATTTATGTTATACTATCCAGTGAACACTTGTGAATTCAAATGTTTCCTTTGTGAAATGGTTAATCAGCCAGTAAATAATATTTGATTGTTTCAGTATTACATGTAAAGATCATATCAAGTCCGTTCTGCTCACAACAAAGGGGACCCACACTCCACAGATATAAGACCATATAAAAATTGTCCAATTTTTGCATCTTGACTTTGGAACTTTTTTGAATTGAAATGTACTCTAGTTTATAGTGTATATTCATTTACAATTGCGAACCAGAAAAGTGTTAGTCTTATTTTACAAATATAGCAGTTCAAAATGTAAACAAAGTATTTGTTTACATTACGGACTTGACCACCGGCAACCTCGTTCCCAGGCTCTTTGCTCTTGTGAAGCAAAGACCCTGGTCGGGGCTGGTCACGTGACCCCGCAGATTCTGCGTGGTAAATTGAATTGATCTGAGGGAGGGGTGGTAGAGGAGTCTGTTTGCTACGTTTGGAAAATTGCAATTTTATCTGTTATAGTTTCGGGTGATAAAAATGTAATTTGCAACAAGAAATCGTGAAAGGAACAGTTTTAAATTCGTATTCATCATGACACAACTTCCTGCTATATCGAATGTCATCAATTATAAGTGTTGCGGTACATTTCAAGCGACAAGCTGGATCATATTTCGCTTCCAAGGACTCCACACGCGCCTGGCTTGCGAAGTTGAGCGTATCGCCGTAGAAACATATATGTCTTCCCAATTCTATACCGACCGACGATCAAACGATACTACAGTAAATGAACGATATGGTTGTTATTTTTGAAGTGTATCCTGTCCGATATTCAACAAAGCCAAAGGATTTATTTTATAATGGAAGATTTCCCAAACATCGCTAACTATGTGTGTGTAAACAATAGTGCTATCTTGACTGTGAAAGCACAGGATTAAAACCGTTATGGACTGTAAAATTCCTTTCATTTACATTGCTGAAACTCAACGATCAAGAATGATTATGTCGAAGACTCGAAGTATAGCTATCTGTCATCAGACGAACACCAAGACCACTGTGCGTTTCCGTGCGTGCGGTACATATAACTTGAATATTTAGGACGATATATGCACCAGATTGCACCAGACACTGGTATTGTACTTCATAGTAAATTATTTCATATTTTGTGTGTTACAGTAATTTACAGCAGGTACATTAATTTATAAACCTTATAAAGACCTTTCATTCCCATTGCCCATACGATAAAGATTATTTAAAGTTGATTTAAATATTGATGACTCACAGCTTCTTTCGACTTGTATAATGCTGCTGTGAGTCATCAATATTTAAATCAACTTTAAATAATCTTTATCGTATACTGTATAAATGATATTTTAGCAGTTTCACCAAACCATACTAGAGGCAAACAACCTGTCTATCAATGGAAACTTTAAAAGGCTTATTAAAACTCATTAATTAAGTAATTCTATGAGCTGGACTTCGTGCGCATATATACAGTTTATGAATTATGTATATACACTGTATATCCCTGATAAAACGTAGGGACACTTTATACCAGATATAATAAAAAATACTTTGCTAAACCTTTTCGGCTATCATTCATTTGCATTCAAGGGGCGAGGGTGAGTGGCTATATGATTCATATCGGAGATTCTGTGCAATCTGATTTAGTGATTTTGGCTTCAACAAACAGGTACTCGTGCAGACAAAAAAGGAAATGCATACAGTTGTGAATTGTCGCATAATTCTTTACTGTTGATCCCAAACAATTTTGTACATGTACGTTAACACTCCTTCCTACCTTGTGTTGAATATAAACGATGATAACCTTTTTAAAAAAATCTAGAGCACTATGTCTATAAACCGTTTTAGAATCAATAGAATGGGCATTCAATGTATATTTGGCTAGTGTCCAAATATGTAACGTTTGCTGTAGGACCAACAAGGCCTACGACCTACACAGTCGCTTTTGAGACCTCTATTTAACAAAATTTATACCGTTTCCATATGACAACAATTCAATGGCACATAAGAATATTATACGTCTCTGAACCAGAGCCAGATACAGAAACGTACGCGTGAAATGAAACTGCGCCCTAACCCCGCGAGACAATAAAAGGGCAAATATTTCCAAGCATATACGATCATACGTTTTCGTTGCTTGACTTTATGACTTGTTTGTTGCTATAAGAATCTACAGTTTAGCATGTTTGTATAATTTAAAAGCAAACAGAAACCAATTTAGCAAGTATTTTGAAGTATATATGATTCTCAAAGATGATTGTATAGAACGGTCACTCCTTGCAATCGAAGTGTGAGGTGCGGAAGTGGAAACATGTAATTTGATACTTTTCTATCCCCCTCTTAGGTTATCAATTTTCTATGGGTCACGTGACCAGCCCCGACCAGGGTCTTTGCTTCACAAGAGCAAAGAGCCTGGGAACGAGGTTGGACCACCGGCTGTAATTTATAAATCTCTAAATGTTTACCAATTTGGAAATTAATTTGCCGATACCTGTAATCGCGCGAGCCCTATTGCCTGCGATCAGGCTTGCTACTATAAAGCGTGTTTTATAAAAGTGTGTTAGTTTAAGATGTGTGTTTTGGAAAGTGTGTTTGTTGGTTAAGTGTGTTTATTCTGTGCAGTGTGTTTTTCTATTTAAGTGTGTTTATCTTTAAACTTGGGTTAATTAACACACGTTTCATAGGAAGGGTGTGCTAACTAACACGGTAGAAAAGGTGTGTTTTTCTGAAAGTGTGTTATCTAACACATTCACCTCCATCGCTGTGTGTTAAGCACTGTACACTGTGTGTTATATAACCCACATGTGTGTGTTATTTAACTCACAAAGGTGTGTTATGTCGAAATCTCAAGAGTAAAATGTGTTGTATAACACACTTAACGTGCTATATAACACATTTTTGTGTGTTTTGCAACACACCTATTTTTAAGAGTGTGTATTGGTATTTAACAAAACAGAATATGAATGCTAAGATTGTTGATTGTCCAACAAGTTATATGACGACTGTCACTGTCAGCCCTTTCTATTTACAATAAGGCTTAATGATAATAGTTCGGCCTTCTTCGTTCTCTCCTTGGATATTGTCGTTCTAGATTTTGTTGTTGGCTATCCTCGATTTCTGGCCATGTAAAGATTCCAATCTCTTAACTTTATTATAAATTAGCGTGCAACATTCCATCGTGTGACCCGATCTTCCGATAATGCCAGAAAATAAAGTTGTACAGGAATTATTATGTTAAAGCAGAAATTTAAAATTACCTGGAACTTGTCTAGGTCCACATGATTGTGCGAATCTAACGCCTTTATAAAAATGGTGTTATAATTTCTTTTGTTTAAATATAAGACGGGGTTTGGTTCAATCTTGCAGAATAAACACATTTCTATATTTAAAAATAGATATATAAATTGTATATGCGTATAAATGATCTGTTCGTTGTTGACTGTGACATTAAGTGTACATGTTTATTGGTTTGGATTTGCAGCCACAATATTGTTTTAATTTAATACTGCTGCAAAACAACGGGCTCTATCTTCCGCTTCAGCAACATTTTCTGACACCTGTGTTGTTGTAAAACAATATAAACAATGCAACGTTGTCAAATATAAATTAGAGAAAGCTTCACGCGGGCCTATTCAATCTTGCTCCCGCAAAGATATTTTTCAAACACTAATTCCAAATACCTTGCCATTTCAGTAAAATAACTTTACAAGATTTTTCGTTCACTGATGACCCGTATATATGGTTTGTTAGAAATCTTAACTTTGTTTCTTTTTAAACAGGGGGCTACCGCACGCATAACATGTATATATATATATATATATATGTATCGCTAAACTATAATAACCATTCGAATGTATTCACCAAGGCAGGCATGCATACTTATCTTTCAGCGCACTTGTAGTCATGTTCAACGAAGAATAACCAAGAAGTTAACTTTATTTAATTAATCTTTTACTATTTTGTGTTCCGAAGAATTTTAACACTGTATGACAATTGCCGGAACAATATGAGAATAGCAACAAAACCAAAACGCCGAGAAAATAATTGGCTCCCAAAAATTACTTGACCACAGTTTGGCCACTTGGGGTCAGGGGTGAATACCTACTTGTACTGCATGGGTAAAGCACGCTCTATAGAGTTTTGTGAGACAAGACACCGACTAGTATTTAGGCATTGTTTTTTTGAAAGATAATTTGTTATAAAAGTATTTTCTTAATCAACCAAGCAAAATCTTGTTCATTTTTTTGGCCACAACAGCATTCTTGCAATTTTACTATATTGGGAAAAATCCATTTCAGCTCTAATAATCCCGATTTACATATTAATTATTTATCTTCTGTAATCAGTGGCAAGTACTGCAATTTCATTGGTTTACAGGAGTGCGATTTGAGCATTAATCGCACCTTTTCTGAGCTGTAATCGCACTCTTGTCTACAGCCAATGAAAATCAGTCTAGTATTTACAACTAGCCAATCAGCATTCAGGATACAAACTTTGAATTTTATTTTTTTTATTGCTGTAAAAAATTCAAAATGGAGGAATTCACAAATTTTGACCTTTTAATTTTTAAATCAGCCCTCGAAAACCGTCAAAATTGAGGTCGGAAAAAAAATGCCGACCTAAATCTGACCTAGCTCGACACATCTCGGCATTTTTTAAAATCTGTTTCCATGTCTTGGAGCACTAGTAGCCTGCACTAGTAATCACGTATTTACGAATCATTGAAAAGTATAAATGTCACGAAGCCTTTTCTTTTAGAGTTTTTCCGAAATTATATCATAAATATACCCGTTAATTCTCAAACCTTACACCAAAGTGCATCGAATTCTATAATCGCTGACTTTTTAACAGCTATAAGCACCAAAAAAGATTATTACTTTGGCTGAATTAAGGTCGGCAAAACATAGGCATTTTAATACTGTAGGTCGGCATTGCCGAATGCCGATCTCGTTTTCGAGGGTTGTTAAATTATATATTTTCTGACGAAAATGACCTACCTGTTCATCCAGCAGAAGACACCGAACTAAACATAACCAGGAGTTATATTTCTATCCAATTCAGATGATTAATTGGACTAAAGAACTTCACTATTTTAAACACGTTATAAACATACAAACATGGCTTCCCAATTGTGTGTTGAATAATTCAAACAAATGTTGTCATGTGATTATACCGGATATAATGCCCGGAAGTGAATAATATGTTAATTTGATTATATAAGATAAACAATAATTCAAAATTGTACTATTTCACTAAGAATTGTCGTGACAAAAATTTAATAATTATATTGAACTTCAACAAATTGTATTTTTCTGCTTTTCCCCCTTAAACAGTTTGATTACAGAAGATAAATAATTAATAAATAATAGAACGAATTAAAGTCGTACTATTAATGCCATAATCATACTCGTGATTAACAAATCAACCTCCCGCTACGCGGTCGGTTGATTTTGTAATCACTCGTATGATTATGGCATTAATAGCACTCCTATTCGTTCTATTACCATCATTTATATATCATCTGCACATCGATATGGATTACTTTTTTGTTTGAATAAAATCTTTCATTTTCTTTGCCGCGATCTGGAGGCGGACAATGCAAAATTATCTATCAACTAAACGAGGTAGGTAAACAAGGGATTAAATTACGTGGAACATGCATGTTCGCATAGGTACTCGGTGAAGATGTGACTGGAATATATTTGCGAAAAATTATTTTGTAATACCTCGTATTCTTTGCTAATTTAATAAGAGGATTACAAGTATCTCGGATTAATGGTATATGTTCACGTGTAGTATTTTAAATAAGTAAATCATTTTTAAAAATAAGTTGTCTGTTCATTGTAGTCTGACATTGTGTGCATTATCTACTTTGGATTTGCATAATTTTGTTTTAATATTACCCCAAACAATGGCGCTAAATCTTCCGTTTCAGCATTAATTTTATCTTTTTACCGTATATGGGTTATGATAAACACAATTTCTTTGAACGGATGGACAACATCACGCTCATTCTCCCAGACCTATAATTTATACGATTTATACAGGTTTCAGTTTAGATATTTTTGCATTTGTCAATGCTGACATAGGCGTACGAGACAGTGGGGCAGGGGGGGGACTCCTCCTCCCCTCAAAAAAAAACAATTTGGAAAACCATGGAAATTCGGGCAAATGCTAGGAAAAATTCATCAGAAAATAGGTCAAATTCAGGTAATTTCATTAAAATCCTCCATAAAATTTCGGGCAAACTTTCAATTGCCTTCCTAGAAAGCATCAGCCCCGTACGCCTATGTCAATGCATTTGTATAGTAGTATATTAGAATTGATGTTACTCA